CTGGTGCGCTCCATCTTCGTGCGACGCCACCTGCGTAAATATTGGTCTTCGAGCCAAAAAAGTAACCACACTATACAGTCCACACAGCATCTCATCTGAGTTTTTTTCAACGGCCTCAACCAATCGTCACCAGCATCACGTTCGTCCACATAGCATCACAGCAACTGCCACAACCAACGTGCCACAAGAGCCACAGCAAGCGTTTTTTTCTTTGGTTTTTGCTACACAAGCAACGTTTTGGTTTGCATCACAGCATCACGCCTGCATCACAGCACCACTAGTGACAGCAACACATTTTTTAATAAAGCAGCATATCGCACTACACAGCATACAACAACACATTAAGGTACGTGGTTTAATTTCATTGCACTTGTGTGTGTACAAATCGTCAAAAAAATAAAAAACTGTGGTGATATACATATTTTGAAAAAAAAAAGACGTGCGTGATTATTGTGTAAACCAAAAAAGGGGAGAAAACACTCAGTGCTTATTATTTTGTTTAAATAAAAATTAGAACACTTTTCACGTTTTTAGTGGGGTACCGGCTAACATTAACGAATTGCGCGAACGCCCATTTTGAATCGTGATACGGTGTTGTTTGTGTAAAATTACCAGTCGCATTTACCGAAGCACAAGATTGATAAAATTTATTCCTTTCTTGCAAAGCACAGAATTTAGTTTTTTCTCATTTTACTGGCTTTCACTTTTATTTGCATTTTATTAATCGCGTAACTTCAAGTAGATTTTGCGAAACTCCTTTGGTTTCTTTTCACATTGCACTTGTCTATTATAAGTGGCGCGCTTGTACATATTGCTGATCACTTCGCTACTGGGTTGTTTCCCCCATTTATTTGTTGGTTGCATAAAATCACAGCCGCGCTTAAACAAACACAATTTCTTCATAAGAAATTTTTAAAATAAACTGCATATTTTGAATATCAATTATTTACACACGTATATCACATATTTGATAAGTTGGGTGGCGAGTGACTTGCACATTTTTTGCATATACGCACATACACATACGTAATTACGTATTCGACAGTCTTATTTGGCTGGAAAATAAATAAATCGTTATTTAATACACAAGTTATCTTTTGTTGTTCTTATAAGAATTAGACTTATTTCGGGCTAAGCGTTTTTAGTGGCAATCTTTTTCTAAGAAGCGGCGATTCACACAAATAAATCTTTTGTCTTGCGTCCACCTCAGTTGCCTTTGGTCAAAAATGGACACCTTTATTCGTCAGGCAGATTCAGTAACAGAATTCGAATCTGACTACAACTCTATGCAGCCATCAGAGCACACAAAGCACTCCTTAACTTTCCAAAAGGATGAATTAAGGGCTCTGTGGGAAAAGGTAAAAGGGTCTTATGATGAACTTTGCGCATCAAAAGAGCTCGAAACCAAAGACCTGGCAGCAATTAAAAAGAAGTATAAAAGCACCTACTTCAGTTTTTTGCGGTGCCAAGCAGCAATGGCTGATCTTTCAGAGCAACTCGCAAAGACTGAAAAGGAAAGCGAATACAAGTCAGGTCGCGAGCTTAATATTCATCTCCCTCCTTGCGACACAGACATTTTTAAAGGAGATTATCTTTCGTGGCCATCGTTTAGGGATATGTTTACGGCTATATACATTCTAAATAAGCGCCTTACCCCAGTTGAGAAGCTGTATCACCTCCGGCAAAAAACTCAGGGGGAGGCCAAAGAAATAGTGCAGAGATCCCCATTAACCAACGATGGCTTTGGTGCGGCCTGGAAAAATCTTTGTGACAGGTACGAAAATAAACGTATCCTGGTCAATGCCCAATTAAAGGTATTATTTAATTTAAACGCAGTTGAGAGTGAATGCGGTAGCTCCATCAAGAAACTGCAACGCGACATAAATAATTGCATCTCGTCGCTTCAGTGTCATCAGATTGATGTTTCAAATTGGGATGCAATATTCACATATTTGTGTTCGACAAAACTGCCAGAAACGACACTGGCACTATGGGAGCAAACCATAGAAAATAAAACTGAGATTTCCAAATGGGTAGATATGGATAAATTCCTATCCAATCGGTTTCAAACACTGGAAACCGTGACAGGTCTTAGGGGAGATATAGTTTCGAAACCTAAACCACCAAGCTCTCGGAATTCTGCAGAGACGCCTGCAAAAAAGCTTGGCGCCTTTCAAGCCAGTGTAGCAAAGGCAACATGTAAAATGTGCAACAGCAATGTACACAAGCTATCAAAGTGCGACAGATTTTTGCGTCTAAAGCCGACGGAGCGAGTAGATTACGTGAAGAGCATTCGCAGTTGCTTGAATTGTTTATCTGCTGGGCACACAGTCTCAAGATGTACCAGCTCATTTAACTGCAGCACTTGTCATTCGAGACATCACAAGTTGCTCCATATGCCAATTCAGCCAAAAGCGACAACTGATCCATCGGGTAGCGTGGAATCTACTCCAAACCAGGCTCAATCAAGACGCGAATCTGAAAAAGGAAACATCAAATCTGTTACAAATATAAATTCTTGTTACGCAAATACAAGTAAAGGAGTTTTGTTAGGAACAGCACGCGTAAACATACACTATAATGGTATACATTTTGCGGCTAGAGCGCTTATAGATTCTGGTTCTGAGTGCTCGTTCATTACTGAGAGACTCAAACGGAGAATCAACCTGCCATCAAAACGCTTGCATGCCCAAGTTTCGGGCATCAATAACTCTGTATCTGCGCAGGTAAAAGAAGCGTGTGCTATTCAACTTCGGTCACCCACAGACCCGTTAATTAATATAGAAGCAATTGTGCTGGTTTTACCACAATTAACCGGGGATCTTCCGACTTGTCAGATAAGCGCAATGACGCAGCAATCGTTCCCAGACTTGGTCTTGGCGGACAAAAGATTCTTCGTCAATGAGCCAGTTGACCTGGTCTTAGGAGGAGATATTTACCCGCAAATAATTTTAAGCGGAATGAGGAAGAACGTATTAAATACGCTTCTCGCGCAAGAGACCGTGTTCGGTTGGATACTGACTGGTCGCGCGGACTCAGTCAGTCCAACTAACAATATCGTATCGTATTTTAACGAAGTCACGTTGGACAAGCAGCTAGCTGCATTTTGGGAGCTGGAGGATGTCCCAAAGAAAAAAGGCATCAACGAAGATGATAAATACTGCGAAGAGCTCTTCAAAGCAACTACAACACGAAATACCGATGGAAAATACATTGTGTCTCTACCTTTTAAACGGGATTTTCCGAAAAATGTGTGCTTAGGACCTTCGCTGAAAAGTGCATGCTCTCAGTTCTACCGGAACGAGACGCGACTAGCGAAAAAGCCTGTCCTTCAAACAGAGTACAACCGGGTTGTATCTGAATACGAGACACTAGCACATATGTCAAAAATTAACAAAAACATTTCACCAGATTCAACGGACTGCTATTTTTTACCGCACCACGCCGTTTTAAAGGAAGAAAGTACCACTACAAAGGTCAGGGTTGTATTCAACGCATCATGCCCAACCGCTAATGGCATGAGTTTGAATGATGTCCTCCTTCCAGGTCCTGTACTTCAGGCCGATTTAACGATCCTCATACTCCGTTGGAGACTGTTCCAATACGTCTTCAACAGCGATATAGAGAAAATGTATCGGCAAATATTTGTAAATGAGAATCAAACGAAATATCAGCGCATAGTTTTTCGCACCTGCCCAAGAGAACCAATTAGCTTATACGAATTAAAAACGGTGACTTTTGGCATCAACTGTGCTCCTTATCTCGCGATAAGGACATTGCATGAACTAGCTGATGAGGTAGAGAGCTCGTTTCCAATCGCATCCGAAATTTTGCGAAAGTGTATGTACGTGGACGACGTACTTGCTGGAGGACACAGCATCGGAGCAGCGATTAAAGCTCGAGAAGAAATACTACAGGTACTGGATTCAGCAGGGTTCCCGTTAAGAAAGTGGACTTCGAACTCCAGTAAAATACTTGAAGGTATACCGAAATCTCATTTACTCACCGACGATTTTCTAGAGTTTGAAGAGTCTAGTACGGTAAAAGCACTTGGCATCAGATGGAATGCCAAATCTGACTACTTCTACTTCACAGCAAAACCAATAGAAAATCGTGACGTCATCACTAAAAGAGCGATACTTTCAGCTATCGCCAAACTGTTTGACCCGCTCGGTTGGCTCGCTCCAGTGGTAATTGTCGCCAAGATCATTATGCAAAATATTTGGTTGGAGGGAACTGGTTGGGACGATACCGTGTCTCCGACCACATTAGACCGTTGGCAGGCATTTATGCACGACTACATGGACATTAATACCATTCGCATACCAAGATGGGTTCACTTTACGCAAACAGATGACGCCGAAATACATGGATTCAGCGACGCTTCGGAGAAAGCATACGCGGCGACTGTTTTCTTGAGAGTTAAGACTGCGGAAAAAGTTGTGGTCAGCCTTCTAATGGCAAAAACAAAGGTAGCGCCCGTCAAAACAGTATCGTTACCCCGTTTAGAACTTTGCGGCGCAGTTTTGCTTTCGGAAACCGTAGAAGCGGTCGTCGAAAATCTGAGTCTTGGACATTTGAAAATAAATCTCTGGACAGATTCTACAATAGTCCTCGCATGGATCCGGAAACCACCGTGTTCGTGGTCAACTTTCGTTGCTCACCGAATAACAAAAATTGTAGACAAGGTGGGAACCGAAAACTGGCGTCATGTGGATTCGGCATCAAACCCAGCAGATCTGGCGAGTAGAGGACTTTCGGCGAGTGATCTAGTCAACAACTCCTTGTGGTGGCAGGGTCCTTCTTGGTTACAAGAAGACTATTCGAGATGGCCAGCACAAGAATCGGACTTTGACACAACTATTGAAGAAAAAAGGGTGCATGTTCATGCAACAACAAAAGTAAAAGACTTTCACGACATTCTCGATCGATTTTCTGATTTATCACGGGCTTTGAGAGTTATATCGTATATTATGAGATTCTATCAAAGAATCAATCCCAAAACGAAATATTCCTTTAAAGCGGAGTCTCGTTCAATTTCGGCCAACGAAATTAAAACAACGACCCAACACTTAATAACGATTTGTCAAAAACAATATTACAGCGAAGAATATACAAGGTTAAAATCTGGAAAATCCATCGACGGAAAAAGTGAAATCCTGCCTCTTAACCCGTTCATCGACAAAGATGAGATTCTGAGGGCTGGTGGTCGTCTGAGCGCATCTAGCGATCTGTCCTACAATGAACGTCATCCTATCATTCTTCCGTATGGTTGTAGGATGTCCCGTCTCTTGGTCCAGTTTATCCATAAAATTTCCGTGCACGGAGAAAACCAGCTGATGCTGCGACTTATCCGATCGCAGTATTGGATTCCCAGAGTGAAAAACTTGATACGGTCCGTCATACATAACTGCAAGGTCTGCACGATCCACAAGAAACGGTCGCAAACTCAACTTATGGGAATCCTTCCCAAAGAACGCACAAC